TCAGGGTGGCTGGGGAACATAAGACCAGAACAGCAGGGGCACCGGGTGTCACACTCACATGCATCAGGGGAGAGAGTTATGTGTGTCCTGGGCTTGTTCCCGGCTGGGTGTTCTTATAATCCTAAAGCCACACCTCTTGCATTTTACAGATGAGCACGAGGAGGCTTCAAGTCTGACTCCAAAGCCCGCCATTTCCACGTGACCTCTGTCTCATTGGGAGGACTGCAGATCTATGCATCTCTTCCTATCTGAGGGTTTTCTTGGTTTTGAAGAAATTATGAAGCCCACAGGCTTGAGTTCTTTTCCACTGCCCATGGGGTCTTGCTTCCTGGTCCTGTTTTGCACTTGTGACTTTCTGGATTCTGTCTGAGGCTGTTCATAGAGTCAGGAAATTCATGCACTCTTGACCTTCGGGCCCAGCCATGGTCAGACTGGTCCTGCTAGGAACCTACCTTTGTCCAGTGACACCTGAGGAATTTGAGATTCCACATTCCCTCTCCCTTGCTAAAAAGAATTCTGGTTTGGTTGGAGGTGTCCACATGCCCAACTAAATATTGGCTCTCCCAGCCTGCCTTGCAGCTGGGGGAGCCATTGGACACTGTGGAAGGTTCTGGGGAAACATTTTCTTTCCTGTTAAGAGGGCACAGTGAAGATCAACCTTTGTTTCCCCTGTCTACCTAGACGAGGACAGGATGGCTGGTGCTGAAACAATCACCTTGTGATCCTGGGGTAAAAGCCAAGAGATTTGTTAAGATATCAGGTGTGAGCTTTAACATCACTGAACAGGGCAGCTATTACTTGGACCTTCTTGTTGAACTGCCTTTTGGTTCTTGCCTCGGTGGCCAGGAATGTGTCCATGCTTGGCTCCACGCCTGCTCATGCTTTATTTTCAGAAGTTATCTCAGCACTAGATCATAAGCAGGGACGGTGGTTGTCTTATTCATCATCTTAGGGAACCTGTAACCAAATATATTGAAGTTTTCTTGATGGTTCAAAATAGATCTTGGGGACACTGACAGCCTGACAACTTCCTGAAGGGGAAACCTCCAAGAGGAAGGGTGGAGAGGTCCTCCTAATACTTGCTGTCCCCGAAGCCCCCTCCTCTGTAGTTGGACTGGGGTGAGGTGGGAGATGCCCCCACTCTGGGCCTGTGCGGAGAGAAGCCTCTGCCTAAATAAATCACCTCCCTCTGCTCTTAACAAATGTTAATTTGGGGCAAGGGTCACTGGCCTTTCTTGTGCCCTTCTACTATAATTTGTGACTTCCCTGCAAAAGGCCAACCTCGTAATTTTACTTGGCTCCCAGAAAAGTCCTTGGAGGACACCTTCCAAGGAGGACATTGGGGTTTTTTTTCTTTCTTTGCTTGTAGGGTTTATTCCACTTTGCATGCAGCTTCTAGGTCCCATGTAGGAAAAGCGTATATTTATTTTAAGGTGGAATCAATGTGCGGTCCACTTTTACAGCCTTCTCGCTCCACTGCTTTTCTTTCTGAAGCTGTTGGTCACAAACGGCCAGTTACATAGTTGGCCACATACTTGCTTTTCAGCTAAATGCCCTTTAGTGTATTTTGTAACAAGCCAGTAAAAAAATAAATAAATTTAAAAATTAAAAAAATTGCTCTTGTATTTTCCTTTGCCTCATGGAGAATGCCTTTGAAAGTCTGGTCAAATGGATTGGGAACCTGTGTTCCTGGCTCATGGGCTGGCTCCAGCCTCAGGCTCTGATGCATGCCATGATTGTGGTCACCTGTGCCTGTTCCAAAGAAGGACAAAGGTTTGCTCTGCTGCATCTTCTATCCTGTGAGATGTAGATCTCTGTTGCTCTCCTGACTGCATTTAGATCCCCAGCCCTGCCCTAGGCTAGCCTTATGTCCTGGGGAAATTTTCTCAGCTTTTCTGTGACTCATCATATCTACCTGGTACCCAGGAATGTAGTATATGGTACGCACTGAGAACGACTCCTCAGCAATATGCTCATCATCCACCTGAGCAGAGAGGGCTGTGCTGGGAAAAGCCCAGGGAGGTGGGAGGCTCTATGACCTGCCAGCCAGGGTCAGCCATTATGAGCAAGGTCTCTGGATTGTTTAATAGCACTCAGTCATCTGAGTCAAATCCAGTGTCACCAGCAGTTTCTCCACTTGCAAAACAAAGGAGATGATACAGTAGTTGGCAGAACCCTTTGCATCCTCAGATGGAAGATGTGACAAGGATGCAGAGGGTCATCATAATTACACAGTGGCAATCTTGGAGGAACAGGAGGCTGGCAAGGTACCCGATGCCTAGCTGCACACACACACATAAGGCATCTTGTGTGTGTGTGTGTGTGTGTGTGTGTGTGTGTGTGTGTGTGAGAGAGAGAGAGAGAGAGAGAGAGAGAGAGAGAGAGAGACTTCTAGTGAAACCAGGCTTCACAAAGGCAAATAACTACCAAGTCCTGGACTCGTGTAAAAGATAACACAAAGAAGATAGAGCACAAGATTCGAGGGAGGCAGCACTTATAAAATCAGTTAATAAATCCATCCAAAGCCTTTCCTGTGCCTGAGGCCAAATCTCTCAACACACTTCCACGACAAGCTCTCTAAAGGTGCAGTGGCCCCTGATTGCTGCAGAACTTTTAAAATGACAGGAAAATATTTCTGCTTGGTCGTTAGGAGGGATGACTTTCTGAACTGCATTCTTACAGCTGAACAACTTTGACCAGCTATAAACAGAGCCAAACTAATTATTTGCTTTTGCAGGGCTCCAATTTCATTTCCACATGGTGAGAGGGTAGCAGGAGATGGCTTTGTGTGATAAAGAGCTGCAGAAGCCTTAGCTGCGGAATTGAATGGACTGATGAATAACCCAAGTCTCACCCCCCTCTGAGCCCCTAGAACAGGGGTGCAGCCAGATCCCTGTTGGGAGAGGAATGTTGGCATGGAGAGGGAGGTGTGAAGAGAGGGCTGCAGTTTTAATAGGAAAATCCAGAGATTTGACACCTGCCAGAATAGAAATCACATTGTTTCTAATCCGGGTGAGGCCTCGCCTCCCATCCCCAGCTGGGTCCCAGACCCCAGGTCCTGGGAGGGGGTGCTGCTTGGCTTCTCTCCAGCAGGAAGGAAGGAGGTGGCTTTGACACACTCCAGAAACACAGGCTGCACCCTGCGTCTCCTAATCAGTCACACAATTCCAATAATTATCTAAAAATATCTGTTTGAATGAAACTTAACCTCTATCTCACTCCATGCATAAAACGTAATGCAAGAGCCGGCCGTGGAGACGTGCACCTGTAATCCTAGCCAGTCAGGTGATGGAGGCAGGAGGATCACTTGAACCCAGCAGTTCAAGGCAAACCTGGGCAACATAGTGAGACCCCCAAACACCCCCAACAAAAACTTTAACTCAAGACATATCATAGATCAATACATAAAACTAAAATCCATAGAAGCTTCTAGAACTTCTTTGGTGAAGATCCAGATAGTAACTATTTCAGGCTTTGTGGACCATCCAGCCTCTGAGGCAGCAACAGGTATGAAAAGCAGCCCCAAGCAAAATGCAATATGCCAATGAGGGGGCATGGTTGTGTTTCAATAAAACTTTATTTATAAACATAAAAATTTGAATTTCACGTGTATTTTTCACATGGAACAAAACATTATTCTCTGTTAGTCAGCTTTCCATCACTATAACAAATACCTGAGAACATCAACTTCTAGAGAGAAAAGGTTTATATTTGTTCATGATTTTAGAGGTTTCAGAATAGCACCACCTTGGAGACCAACCTTTTTATAAACTTAGCATTGTGCTTTTGATTTTTTTTCAGTCAATTACATAAAATTGTTCTTAGCTCAGGAGCCATAGAAATACAAATGGCATGTTGAATTGTGCTTACAAATCACAGTTTTCTGATTCTTATTCTAAAGGAAAACACAAGAGAAAAGCTTACAACCTTGATGTTGGCAAAGATTTTTCTGGTAGGACACAAAAAGCACCAACCATAAAAAAAAAAGGGTAAGTTGGACTTCATCATAATTAAATACTTTTGCTCCTTGAAAGAGAGTGTTTGGAAAATGCTCCTCAAAAGACATTAAGATGAGCTACACACACCAGAAAAAGAATATTGGCAATACCTATATTTGACATAGAAGTTGTGACTATAATACATGGAGAACTGAGGCAGAAACTCTGTTTAAAAAATGAACAAGACACTTGATCCCTCACCAAAGAAATGTAAGAAATATATATAAAAGGTTCCTAATAACTTGGGCCATCAAGGAATGTACCTTATAACCACAGCAGAGAGAAGAGTTAAAATTAAAAAAAGACTGACAGTATCAAACGTTGGCAAAGACGTGCAGAAAATGGAACTCTCAAACGTTGTTGGCGGGAACATGAAACAGGATGACCTCTCCTGAGAACCATTGATTAGAAAGTCACACACACACCTACCCTGTGACTGGGCAGTACCTCTTTGGTGTTTACAAAGGAGAAAGAAAAACATATGTTCACAAAATGACTTGAACAAGGATGTTGATAGCAGCTTTATTCAGCATAGCTCTCAAAATGAAACAGCTCAAATTTATACCATACATTTGGATGCATGCATAGGGGCATATGTGTTAAAAAAAGAACAACCGATATAAGCAAGATACAAGTGGATGACTCTTTCTTTTTTTTTTTTTTTTTTTGTGGTAGCAAAGATTGAACCCAGGACACTTTACCACTGAGCCACATCCCCAGCCCTTTTTATTTTAATTTTGACGCTGGATCTCCCTAAGATGCTTAGGGCCTCACTAAGTGGCTTAGGGTTGAGACTGGTCTCAAACTTGTGTTCCTCCTGCTTCAGCCTCCCAATCACTGAGATTATAGGCATGTGCCACTGTCCCCAGCAGGAATGATTCTTTAAAACAATTACAATGAGGAGAAGAAAAAAAGAAGGTATAAAAGAATACATTCCACAGAATCTCATCATATGAAGCCTGCAATAATAGAAATCAAAAGTGGTACAGGGGTCTGCAGGAAGAAACTTGGAAATAGGGGAGAGGGAACTTTCTGAATGACAGGTGGAAATGCTCTCATCTGTCTGATATGGTGGCCGCCTGTCACACGAAATGACTGGAATGTGGCCCAAGGGAGGGACCAAGGGACTGCACATCCTATTTTATTTAATTCTAATTAGTTTACATTTTAAAGTTGAAGCCTACAGAATATTTTGCCCTTAAATACAACTCCATTTTTCACAGAACCTGTATTTCACTTTAACTTAAAGTGTTAAGTGGAGATGCGCTATTAGTGTAAAATATGTCAAGATTTGTTAAAAAGGAGTAAAGTTTCTTATAATTTTGATCTAAGTGTGTGTTGAAATGATAATATTTTAAATACATTATGTTTGAAATGCAATATGAGAAAGATTTACACCTGTTTCTTTTTGCCTTTCATAGTGTGGCTACTAGAAACTTTAAAATTAAGTGTCTAAAAAATAAAACAAATCTGGGTGTGGTGGTGCTTGCCTATAATCCCAGCAACTTGGGAGGCAGAGGCAGGAAGATTGCAAGTTCAAAACCAGCCTCAGCAAAAGCAAGTCTTGCTAAGCAACTCAGTGAGACCCTGTCTCTAAATAAAGTAGAGGGATGTGACTCAATGGTCAAGTGTCCCTGTGTTCAATCCCCATTATCCCACCCCCACCCTCCAAAAATAAAATAAGATAAATTAAAATTACATGGGTGGCTGTCATGATATTGCCATCAGATAGAACTGTCTTGTTTTGGGGGCTGGTCACCTTAGTGTATGCAATTGTCAAAACTCATGAACTGAAAGCCTAAAATCTGTGCATTTTATTGTGTGTTAATTATAGTTCAATTTTAAAATGGCACACAAAAGGCTCCCCCCACTTGACTAATTTTATGGTGTCAGAGATCAGGGGCACACAGGGTCAGTGACTGGGAGGGGAGTGAGGGGAGATGGAAGGTTCTTTTTCTTTCTGTGAGTTTTACTTTAAAATTGAATTTGGCTTTACAGCATAGCTAAGGAGTATGTTTAGTCCCCTGAATTTAAGGGGAAATTTTATGCAGAACCACCAGCTAATTAGTGTGCGGCCCTGGGAGTCCTTATGTTTTATAAGCAAGGAGGTTTCACAGTTCCAGGACTGGTTTCCCTAACCCTGCCCTCTCTTGTGTGTGTGTGTGTGTGTGTGTGTGTGTGTGTGTGTGTGTGTGTGTGGCGGGGGACCTGGCCCAGTGATGGCTCAGATTACACCTCCCTGAAGTGGCCTTTGCTCTAAAGCTGCCTCACCCTTCCCTCAGACCCTGCCCTCAGGGAAAAGCCCTGCACCAGGTCTGGGTTCCACCCCGTTCTCTGGGAAGCAAAGTCTTTTGACCAGAAGAGGCCTTCTGCCTGCTGGCCATCTGGTGACATGAAGAACAGGATGTCTGAACCATAGGTGATGGGGTGAGGGAGTACCATGACAGAGGTCCACACGTCCTACCTAGAGTGGCCACGGCTCTGGCTGGTCCACACAGACACATGAGGGGTTTCCCTCTTTAAGTGTAGAAGGACAGGAAGCGGTGGGGGCAGTGCCATAAGGGGGGTGGGGGTCTTGAGCCAAAGGGAGTGGCCAGCAGAACCAGAAGTAGAATGTGGATCAGCCTTGGCTCAGTCCCCCTCCACATCCTTCTTCGAAAGGGTCAGACCCTGGGACGCAGCTTGGCAGCAAATGGAGAGAACCACCAAGGAGCAGAGGTGAAGGTTCCAGGTAGTGGTCGGACACCGACCTGTACAAGTTAACTCTTTTCTCTAAACCTGTTTCCTCTTTTGCGAAATGGAGATGACAAAACTGGCTATGAAGGGTCATTGGGGAGTTGGTAAAGGGCACTGTTGGCTCTGGTGGTGGTTCTAATTCTGGTAGGAATTACTCGGCTAGTGACTGTTGAGACAAAGGACAGAATGAGGCCTGGGGGTCAGGGAGGTGAGTGCTGTGGGGGAGGAAGGGGAGGTCCTAAATGGCACTCCAATGCCCCAGGAGGCCAGAGGCTGACAGGAAGCTGGCTCTCAAGGTTACTTGTTCTAGGATGGGTTCCTCAGTGGCAGATCCTGGATTCATGTGACAGTGAACATCTTCAGGATATTGGGGAGTAGAACTAGTAAGAGAAGGAGGCCAATGGGAGACCCCATGTCAGCAAAGCTACAAAACTCCATCTCAGTAACTCCAAGATGGCCCCCCACCAACCTTCCCTCCTGGTACTTACAACCTTGAGCAGGTCCCCCCTCACTTTGGATAGGGTGAACCTGTGTAGCAATAGCATATTGTGGAAAAGATGGAATAAGATTTCCATGGCTGGGTAACAGGAGACATTACTCTCACTGGGAGAAGCCAGCCACCATGACGATGCCCAAGCTGACTGTGGAGAGGCCCTTGTAGTAGAGAACTGAAGCCTCCTGCCAATATCCACCCTGACTCTTGGGCCTCATGAGGACACCATCTCCAGGGCAGATCCTCTACCCATCCTAGTTGGCCTTCTGGTGAAGCAGCGCCCCCTGGTGTCCTGACTGCAAACCCACAGAGACTGAACCAGAATCACCCAGCAGGGAAACCCCCAAATTCCCAACCACAGACACTGTGTATAACAATGAATGTTTGGGTCATTTAGAACTACTAGACTTTAAGTCAACTTATTACATAGCAACAGAGTGCCCATAAAGTCACTCAGACGCAATCCCCTGGCTCTCTGTGGCTGGAAAGGTGCTAGCCACCGAGATCAGAAGGCAACGGGGGTCTACATGAGTGTCAAGGGAAAGGCATGTGGGGGCAGTCAGGGAAGCCCTGATAACATCTGCCACAGGAACAAGCCTGGCAGCGTTGGGAGCATTGGGTGGGGTGCCCAGGATAAATGACTGAAATATCACCAACCTGTGGGAAGTAGCAGCTGGTATTGTTTGGCATTATAACATGATAAATGGGAATGGAATGAGCCAGAGCCAGCATGAGGGTACTGGTGCCTACTGCTGGGGTCAATGGCTCAGAGCAGACCTCGTCTTCTGGAACCAACACCCTTATCCTGTTCACACTGCGTATGCGGCAGAGCCAGGGCAAGATGCATCCTCATCATCCCCCTGCCTCTCCCGTTCGTGCATCAACCACATTGAAAGACTCCAATCAGCTCCCTGGGAACCAGGAAGGGCTCCAACCAGCGAGTGAGGAAGGAGAAATGTTGGCTCCTTGGCTGGTATTTCCTGATGGCCCCGAGTACCCTGTCTTGAAACTCCTCTGGCTGCCAGTCCCTCGACCTGCCTCTTTGCTGACTTCTTCTGGCACCTCTTGGTCCACAGAATCACTCCCCCACCTGCTGAATTCGCTGGGGTCTGCAGGACAGTGTGCGGGACCTGGAGATGCGGATGTTCCCTGAATTTACTCGCTTGATGAGTTCAGAGCTCCCTTGCTTCCCATTTGTTCAACTCTGGGGGACATCACCCACATGGCTTCCCACCCTAGTCTCCCTTATGGCAGCATTAATTTCCAAAACAGATGCATGCATCCCCAGGGCTCAGAGTCCTAGAAGGGCCTTCTGGAACTGTGGAGCTTGGGAACAGGGATGGGCTTTGGATCTCAGAGGTAGCATACCGCCTCCCAGCCCAGACCTGTGGCTTTCTTCACGTAGCGCACTCTATTGATTTCTATTTCATAATGACAGGTGCAGTTCTTGGGTCCTTTCTCTGATGGGCCCAAGCTGTCTGTCAAGTGGGAGAGGCAGGGCAGGGGAAAAGCATTATTATTCCAAAGCACAGTCATTAGATTAATAGTAAGCTCCAGCAACACCATTAATGTGGGGGGATCAATGAGATGACAGGCGAGGCTGCCTTCTGATAAGTTGCTGCTTCCCAAGCATGTGCCCTATTTATAGATCATACGTGCTTACTCCAGCCTCGTATCTTTCTTCCCTTGAGCTCTCCCAAGTGAACTGATTATCTTCTTCAAGGCTGCGTGTCTGCAACATACACCACGGGCACCATGATAC